GGGAAGATGGCGCCCGGCCCCTGAGGGGAAGATGGCGCCCGGCCCCTGAGGGGAAGATGGCGGAGGTGTCCAGGGGGGCTGAGGCGTTGCAGCGGCTGGAGGGGCCGTAACGCCTCCAGAGGTTCCTGCGTTACCCTTGAAAAGCATCGGAAAGCAGCCTGTGAACCTGAGGGAGCGACAAGAGGAGCAGCACCGAGGTGTTGCCACACGGGTGGCTATGGCTTTACAACAGCAGTCAGCCCTGCCTGAGCTCCTGTAAATCTGTTCCTGTCCACCAACCATCTGCAGGCCTCTCACATACACAAGGCCACAATACAACATATATTGAACTTAACACCCTGAACAAAGACCTTTAACCAAACTCTGAGAGATGCTAATGGAAGTCAATCAGTGCAGAAATATGTTAAAAAGCAGGCAAAAATGGACATAAACCATTGTTAATGGGCTACTGCAAGACCTTACCTTCGCAGTAATGGGAATCCTTGTGAGGAAGGTGCATCATATTTGGTGGTCATCACACACAGAGCTTTACCAAAGGTTACAGCCAAGTATGAGTGGAAAAAATGTAACTAGCTGGAACTTCCTAACCACCAGGGACAATGCTTTCAAAACAGCACACAAGAAGTCACCCATAAATAAGAATTCTTGGTTAAAAATTCTGGTAATCCAAAAGACTGTACTGAAGGGTAAAGGAGCAGATGCTGGTGTTTCTTAGTGCTCTTTCCCAACAGAGGTCAGCTATCTCCTTTGTGCTTGTGTTGAGGAAGGCCCTTTAGGAAGTTTTAACAACTACAAGGCAAGGCAGGTAATGCACTTGCTGTAATCACGAACACAACCTTTGGTTTTGACATCTATTATTTTAAGGCAGGCACAGTTTTTGTGACTAGAATATGCATCCTACTTCATTACTTCAATCTGAGTCTACAATTTCATTCACATTAAAACCTATGAATTTATGTTACAGCAGATTTCAATAGATCTTCTGCCATTACACAACATAGTTCCTTTGATCCTTATTTTAAAATCAGCTCCTGCTTTTCCAGGAGTTAGTCTAGTATCCTTTGCAGCACCACAGTTGGGAAGATGTTATCACAGATGTTGCCATTTTTTACTGATTAAGTATCACAGGAGTTTATACAATACATATTCTGAGAGAGTAGTCACAGATCTGTATCATTTATCTAGGACAATCTTTTTATTCTATTCACTTAGGTCTCTATCAGGATACAGTGGTTTTGGTAATTGTTGAATTCTTTTCTATGTGGTTCCCTGGCCTGCCAATATACAGCTCATGGTAACTTCTCCACAGGTGAGACAAAGATGTCAAAATATGAAGTCCACAGCACCAGATTGAACAAAGAACATCAAGGAGGCCTCTCTCACATTCCTTCTCCTCCAACAATGAAGCTGCAGCTTTTGCCTTTCCTAACTCCCTCAACTAGCCCAAAGCTCACCACCACTGGCCATGGGTGAGCACGTGGCTCTGGGTTTCAGCCGACAGACAGAACAAAAGGCTCGGAGTTCACTTGAGACGGAAAAAAATAGGGAGCTAATTTTGATAAGAGAATGAGTTTAAGGGTTTCAGGAGCAGGGAAAGAATGTAAGCAAAGAGACAGGAATGAGACAAGGAAACGATTATGAATGTGCTGAAAAAGAAAATATAAAGTTCCTCAGGAAGGGGAAGGTTATACAAGAGTGAAAGGGGAGGGGGAGGAAGCAAGGGAACACACTGGCAAAAACCACTGGCGAAGACTTCTGAAAAAGCACAGCAAAGGAAAAATAGGGTAAAGTTTACAGCTTTCCTACTTAGATGAACATTCTATTCCCTCTATTATTAATTTTTTTACCTTTTCTCACTGGTTGCAAGAAAATGAATCTTCAAGTTCTTTTAGCCTGCCAGTATGACAGAGTAGACAGGGGAGAATCCTCAACGAGCGACAGGATTGACATCACAGCTACTGTCGTAGTAACTTATAACCAGATCTCATCAATTGCCTGAAGAACTCCACCAGATGCATTTACCAGGCCTTTCTTCAGACTTGTTAAAGGGCAAACAAATGAAAACCAGCACCTGTCCTAGAAAGGCAGAACCTACGAACAGCAGCAGCGGCCCAGTAACGTGCGTGTGGCTGAGTAAATGATCAGAGACTGAGAAAAAGCAGATCATCTTCAATTTACCAGTTCACTGGTCTCTAGGTGTCAACACTCCTGACATGCTCATTAAGCCAACGACCAGTCCTGCAATCTATTAGCTACATCCCTTCAAATTTATTGTGCTGAAATGTGCAATTAATTGTGTGTTGGTGTTACATTATTTGTTCTGCAGTCACAAAAGCTAATCCATTTCTGTCTGCTAGTTACCTAGCCTGGGAATCTTCGTGTATGTTGATCATCTAATGCTAAGCGAGTTATTGACATTTAGAGGCATCACAAAAGACTCTTGTAACTCAAAACTCTGTTCCTGTAGCTACTTTAAAACAGCTGACCTTAATGCAAGCAATTGCATGAGTCTAAAACAAAACATAGTAGGAGAAGGCTAGCTGGAAATTTCAACCATCTTTTAACCTTCTCACAATTCCTGCCATTACCATAACTCTTCAGGAAATACACCATCTAAATCAGGCAATTGCTAACAGATGTGTGGTGTATTTTCAGCCTTTGTCGATACTCTGGTTACTGAGCTAGAATCCCAAATAGTCCAAACCCCCTGAGCTCAGGGGGGGCACGGCACTCTCTGATTTACTCAGCTCAAGTAATAAAAAGCCACATACTATCAACTTCATTATCCATGGGATGGCCTTATGCATCAAGCCAGCACCCACCCTGCCTTTGGAAGCGGTGTCTGGTGTTCCCTCGGGATAAGAACACCACCATCCCCCTGCTGATGGAGTCAGTGCAAGATCCCCTCAGCACTGCCAGGAACCCTCCCAGCCAGCACAGATCCACAGCCCAGGATGGATGGGACTCCCAGCTCAGCCATGGCTGGCAGTACAGTTTGGAATACAACGGGGTGTCTGCACTTCAAGGCTCAATACACAGCACTGAGCTGGCTGTCCAAGCACCCAGAATTCCCTCCCCAGGAAACCACGCACTCCTGATGGTGGAACGGCCAAACCTTCACTTGATCTCATAAGCACACGTATGTAGATTTCAAGGACGAGAAAAACCTGCATTTTGCATTGCTGTTATTCTTTCAGCTGGGAAAATGCCTAAGTATAAACCAGGGAAAACAGGGGAATACAGAGGAAAAGAGAAAACATTGGTTTTGGATTATATAACGTAAGTAAAAGCAATTTCACTGAGATTAACATCCTCTTAAAGCATCCAAGTGGAAGCATAACCCAGAGCCAGAACCTAAAAATTATCAAAGTAGGATTCACCTCATTACTTGGACGAGCCAAAAAGCTGGGCATATAAACTCTCCTTCCTAGTTAGGCACCTATTCCAAGCGAGTCACTCCACCTCTGTGCAGCCAGCCCTTCCAGAGGCAGCCTCCTTCTGCCTGTGGAGGGCACCTGCTCTAGGATGGCACGGTCACCACGCCCAGCTGCACAGGGAGGCACCCAGCCTGCAGAGCCTCAAACCTCACAGCAGCAATCTGGGGGCTGCTCTTACTGGGACACTTCTCAGCACCCTAATTCCCCAAGGACACGGCAAGACCTACACAGCCATTCTGAGACACCTGAGGTGGCCACAGTCCAAAATCAGACCTGCTGAACACCAGACCCACCCTTTCTTGAAAAACTGTATATTAAAAACTATGGAAAAGATATTTTTACTAATATTGTTCTTTACAGAGCTCTAGGAATATGAAACACTGACCACTTCTTGTAACAAAATGGGAGTAAAGTCTAACCAATTTATGTATGCTTTATTCTGGTTTAACATTAAAAATATTTTGTCTTTTTCATTTACTTTAAAAATGAAGAATAAAAAAAGTATATGAGGGTCTGAAAAACGACCTCTGCATATATTCTAGGATGATAATCAAATTTGTTTGGTTTGTTGTTCAGAAACAATTTTAGAAAGGGATACTCATGGAAAAAAATCAACTAGGAAAAAAAAACATAACTAAAAAAGTTCTGAGAAAAATGTATTTTGTCAACAAGATGCTTTATGTCTTCTTTACAAGGCAAATGAACCACAAGACAGACAGAATTTTTATATTACATTAAAATTTATATTACACTGCATGAGAAATATTGCCTTTATGAGGCATTAAGAAATGGAAGAGAATATGAGGCATTAAGAAAAAGAAAAAAAAGAGATAAAATTTCATTGCCACTTGGTAAAGAATTCCTAGCCAGTGCACCCATCTGCCACGGGAAGGAAAATAATCCCATACAAATAAAACAAGGAAAATATGCTTGCAAAGCTATCATAAATCTGGGGTTCTGGGACTATGAACGTTTGAAGTTTCATGAACGTTTAACCTAAACATAGTTTCTTGTTATGCATTACCAAGTAAGGCTAAATATTTAATGAGCATTTGTTGCACAAAATCATATTTTAAGTCTACCTGAACATCAGAGCAAATGATACAAGGTTTTAAAATAAAGATATGTTTAAAGCAGTTATTTAAAAAGAAAAGCATCCCTAAAACTGACAATTCAGAACTTGAAACAGCCTGGTATGTATTATAATTTAATCCTGATCTAGGAGATCAAAATGTATTGCCACAGAATTTCCCTGTGGTGATAAACCTTCAAATCCAAAGCTGTTCTCCTGTGCACCCCCAACACTTACAGATCAGGTCAGACTGCTCAAACTCACTCTGGGGGGGCAATACTTAGGATTTCTATGTTTGTCTGAACTTGTGTTATTTTACTGAATTCAAGCTCTAAATCAAAACATTCTGGTTACAGAGAACACACCTGAGTTGGCAATGAGCACTTAGATCTCACCTATGAAAAGTACTGTGAGCCCAAATAAAGGTGTCACTTTTTCTTCCAAGGGACA